CGGGTTCTAATTTGCGCTCGGTCTAGAATGCTTGGCTTTGCAACCTTGGCTAATAATATACTATATTGCTCGGCGCACAATTATTCTTAGAATTGTTAAGGGTTGGGAAAATACAACTACAATCTCATAAAATCTACCTGCAAAATTCTGTCTTGGGATACTTAGTTGCGCGAGAATTGCTTGTGAACAATGCAACGGGTTCGTCTTCCTGCCATTGGGCAATAAATGCAAGGGATAATTCACAAATCGCCGAACAAGTAACACGTTTTAGGGAGGTCGACTCGTATTTACTCACCCCTGCAATAAACGAATGCAATAAGCCCCAGCTGAACGACCCGTGTGAATCGTCGTTTGTTAATACTTTTCAAAGAAATGCCGCAGCACGGTTCATTGTACAATTACCGACAAAACACAGTAAAATTGATCTAGGTGATAGTTTAGAAATGGTAAAGGGTAAGTTTTTCAATTTGGAGAAAAAATTTGCGAAATTTCCCACACTGTATCAAAACTATAAACAGTTCCTGGACGAATACAAATTATTAGGTCATATGATACAAATTCCTATTAATGAATTAAACAAACCCGATGTGTATTACATACCACATCATGCAGTTTACAAGGAGAACAAAATCAGAGTGGTTTTTGATGCAAGCGCAAAATCGACTAATAATATGAGCTTGAACGACAGTTTGCTAAGTGGACCAACTATTCAGGAAGATTTGTTTTGTATTGTAACGAGATTTAAATTATTTAATTTTGTCATCAAGGCCGACATTAAAAAGATGTATCGGCAAATATTAGTTAACAAAAATCAAGTTAATGGTCAACGAATTCTTTGGCACGATGATCCCAGTAAACCTTTGGAATTTTATAGATTATTAACCATGACATATGGGATCACGTCTTCTCCATTCTTGGCAATTCGTTGCTTGCATCAATTATCGCATGAATTTAAAAATCAATTCCCCGAAGCTTCTCAAATCATAACTAGGGACTTTTACGTAGACGATTTGTCAACTGGAACTAATTCAAAGGAAGAGGCGTTGCGATTAAATGAACAATTATCTTTCATATTAAGAACTGGTGGATTAGAATTAACTAAATGGGCATCAAATGACAGGAATATTTTTGATAATGCGAATAGTCAACAATCCAGTGCAATTAATTTAGACAATACCGAGCAAACAAAAACCTTGGGCAAATTTTTGAGTTGTAACAATGACGAACTGTTCTATAAGGTTGAGGATAGTCAATTTAACACAAAATTAACTAAGTGAGGAATTTTGTCAATAATTTGCAAAATTTTTGATCCACTTGGGTTAGTCAGCCCTATTGTTATTCGGGCAAAATTAATATTACAACAGTTTTGGAAGTTCAACTTAGAATGGGACGAAGTAATGCCAGATAATATACGCAAATTTTGGTATAATCTTATAAGTGATATTAAGTTATTAAATTCAGTTAGAGTTCCAAGACACGTCCTTACAAAAAATCCAGTACGTATTGAATTGCTAGGTTTTGCAGACGCTTCAGAATTAGCATATGGCGCAATAGTATACGTAAGATGCATCAGTAAAAATGGTGATTCCACCACCAACTTATTAGTGTCAAAGTCGCATGTTGCGCCGTTAAAAGCGGTGACAATCCCGCGCTTGGAACTGCCTTATTACTTGGTCGATTAACAGATCGTGTACTACAAACGACCAACATAAATTTTGATAGAATAAGTTTATATACGGATTTAACAACAGTATTAGCTTGGCTATCCAAGCCCTCCACCACCTGGAAAACATTTGTAGCAAATCGGGTGGAGGAAATTCATAATTTAACAAAAAACGTTTTTTGGCAACATATTGACACGCATAACAATCCAGCAGATTTAGTTTCCCGAGGTACAGGGACTCGTAACTTATTAACAAGTAGTTTGTGGTGGCACGGGCCACTCAATTTGCATATTTCAAGCGCAGCCGATGCGAGTAATGCGCACCAATTAATCGAAGTATCTGAAGCAAAGACAGAAACTGGTAGTTCTAACCTTGTAAATAACACCTTCGAGATCTTCAACAAATTCTCAGATTTTGCAAAATTAAAAAAATGCATCGCTTGGATATACAGGTTTATTAACAATTGTAGAGTTAATGTGGTAGTTCCAAGTGTCCAATGTAAATGTACGCATGTGCGATACAGAACACAAGGAGCCGTTGATGTACGACGGACAGATAATAAAGCATCGATCTAGACATGGCCTTCTTTTATTAAACAAATATACAACATGGTGTCAGAAGTAAAGCAAAGTATAAATAAAGTGTGAAGTAAAGTAATAAAGTAAAAGAAAGAGTGATAAGAGGAGTGAGAAACGAGCATTCACGAGCAACAGTTGTGCAACACGTGGTGACCGAGAACAAACGAAGAAAATGGCGGAAGGTTACAAGCCACCGCCACTGCAAATTAAAGGTAATCCATCCGTGGACTGGAAAAAGTGGTTCAGCATTTTTGGAAACGTATCTACTAGCTGCAAACCTCGATGAAGCCGACAACAGAAGAAAAATCGCCTTATTATTAAACCTGCTGGGAGGCGACGCACAAGAAATTTACGACCAATTCAAGTGGGTTGAAGGTGCGCATAAGCATGTCTACGCCATGGTGACCAAGAAATTTGAAGAATACTGTGCGCCATTTAAGAATCTGGTAGTGGAGAGATTCAACTTTAACAGTGTGACCCAAGGTGAAGGAGAAACATTCGAATGCTTTTTGAGCAGACTACAACCAAAAGCAAGTACGTGTGAATTTAGTTCCCTCAAGGAAACCCTGATCAGAGACCGTATCATCTATGGAATACAAGTCAAGGGGCTACAACGTCGATTACTTCGAGAAACAAACATTTTACTGGACGATTGCATCAAATACTGCATCGCAACTGAGCAGAGCGACCGACAAGTGAAAGGAATAAAACGAGTGGACACCGTGATGAAAAAAAATATTTCGAGAAACAAGAAGGAACCGTCTCGCAGTCAGAAAATAGAATGCACCAAGTGTGGTCGTGTACACGAAGTCCGACAGTGTCCAGCATTTGCCTCAACTGTAATGGCCGAAACCATTTTTCCATTCTGTGCAAGAAAGAAAAGCGAGGCAGAGTACAGCAGACTGGCGATGAACAGCAGAAGGCGTCGAGAAACAGAAGAATCCATGAAATACAAGAATATGAAGACCCCAGTGAAGAGGAAGCGAAGTATTTCTTCGTTTCAGAACTAAAAACATCTAACAAGGTAGCAAAACCCTGGTATGTAGATATACTATTTCATAATAATGTGTCTATAAAATTTAAAATTGACACTGCAGCAGAAGTCAATGTTTTGCCAATGCGATATGTTAATAAATTGTCTCTATCGAAAGATGATATCGTTAAATGTAATGTAGTTCTAGTGTGTTACAGTAATAATTCGATGTGCAGTCCAGGAAAGGTAAATCTGCAATGCAAATGCAATAATCAATTAAAAAATATTGAATTTGTTCTTGTTAATGATGATAAAGCGGAGGCTATTTTAGGATTAGATACATGTCTAACGTTCAATTTAATAAAGCGAGTAGATAGTCTTGAATGTACCAAATATAAAACTGTTGATGATATTTTAAAACTGTACCCAAGTGTATTTACAGGAATTGGTAGGGTTGACTATAACTATCATATCGAAACAGATCCAACGATAAGTCCGATTGTCCACCCTCCTCGAAGAATTCCCCTATCCTTTCAACCTAAATTGAAACATACCTTAAAGAAGTTATAAGAACAAGAAATTATAGAAAAAGTGGATTATCCAACGGATTGGGTCAACAGTATGGTGATCGTGGAAAAGAAAACGGGAGACCAAAGATTATGTTTGGATCCAAGGGACTTAAATCGAGCCATAAAAAGGGAGCACTTTATGATTCCGACAGCACAAGACGTAGTGACGAAACTATCGGGAAAAAAGATTGTGGCGGCACAATAACACGTCGGTAAGCAGAGAACAAATAAGTCGTCTCGTGGTGTAGCGGTTAGCATACCTGCCCGGAAAGCAAGGAGACGTGGGTTCGAATCCCACCGAGGCACAACATTTTTCTCTGCTTACCTACATTGGTGACCACCGACAGGGAACACGCACGCACGCAACATCCTTCTGCCACCGCCCTGTGCCCGCTGTGTTCGGGGTCCGCAGCACCGCCAGGGTTCGAACGACGAACGTAAGAGTGGTAGGGGCGACGCCTGCAACTATCTCCTTCGCACCCCAGCACGACCGCGCACTGTGTCGCTGGGGGGGAGTACTGTGGCGGCACAATAACACGTCGGTAAGCAGAGAATAAATAAGTCGTCTCGTGGTGTAGCGGTTAGCATACCTGCCCGGAAAGCAAGGAGACGTGGGTTCGAATCCCACCGGGGCACAACATTTTTCTCTGCTTACCTACCTTCACCGTAATAGACATGAGTTCAGGGGCCCTATTCTTGAACTCATGCGACTCACTTTCGTATACGAAAATCGTTCATTTCGTATACGATTGTCAAACTTCGCATTCTTGAACCGAAAAACGGTCAGTCGTATACGAATTTGTCGTACGAAAAGCAACGCATGGTCTTTACCGAGCGAAAATGAATTTCGTATACGAAAGTGGGTACGATTATTACCGAACTCGTACCGAAACTCAGCGAAGCGCATTGCTGACAACTGAGTGATGGAGTGATTTTGAGGTTAACTCACATGTTTATGTTTACATTTTCTGTTGTGATTGTGTGAATAAAAAAAAAGTGCCTTTAGGTAATTGCCGATTTATCGAAAAGTAAGTAAAATTACAGTGTTTTCTTTTTACAATATGGAGATATGTTGTGTGAACAGAAAATGGGTGATTTATTTCAACAAGCCGTTTTAAATGCCGAAGAAGAAATTGAAATAGTAGCACAACGACACAGACCTCCGCGTTTTCACACGCGAGACGATTCATTTCAACTGCTTTCTGATGCAGCATTTTTAAAGATGTACCGGATGACAAAAGAATTAGCACAAAATATCATTGACTTGGTGGACCCCTACATTGTACCACAAACGAGGTGCTCTGCATTGGACACATCAGTAAAAGTAAATTATATAAGACTTTTATAAATTGTTGTATTTAGTATTTTTATATTTTACAGGTCTTAACAGCACTTAGATTTTTTGCTTCGGGCAGCTACCAGCTTGACATTGGTAAAAATGTGAATAGTGCTGTCAGTCAGGCTTCCACAAGTCGGTGCATCAATGAAGTCGTTGAGGCTCTAAATCAACCCCAAATTTTTGATGAGTGGGTTAAATTTCCCCAAAATTTTAGAGAACTTAATAATATACGAAATGAGTAGGTTTTTTTATATTTTTATCTTAATTATGTGAATATCAATATAATATCTAACAGGTTTTATCAGCGATACCAGTTTCCGGGGGTCATTGGTTGTGTAGATTGCACACATGTTGCAATTGTAGCTCCAAAATCAAATGACGCAGTGTATCCAGAACATATTTATGTGAACAGAAAAAATTACCACTCCATAAATGTTCAATTGGTCAGTATGATAAAAAATAAAGTAACATTAACAATATGTCTTATATATAGGTATGTGACGCTAACCTGCGCATTTTGAATGTAAATGCAAGATATCCTGGAAGCACCCATGATAGTTTTATATGGAACAATAGCAACGTGCTACACTTCCTACAAAACTTGCATACTCGAGGTCATTCGACTTATTATGTTTTAGGTAAATATTAAGCAACATTTCATATAAATCAGGCAAAAAATATTTTTTACGCAGTTGATTCAGGATATGCTCTTAGGCCATGGCTCATGACGCCAATTCAAAATGCCGTCCCAAATACCCCTGAAGGTAGATACAACGAGTCGCAGAAAAGGACACGATCTATAATCGAAAGGTGTAATGGTGTCTTGAAAATGAGGTTTAGGTGTTTGCTTAAACACAGAGTGTTGCATTACCACCCCGAAAAAGCGGGAAAAATAATCAAGGCCTGTGTAGTATTGCACAATATGTGCATTGGTAATAATGTAGAAGAACCAGAAGACAACGATGAGGTAGAAGTGGATTTTGGTATGAATATCAATGATGAGCAAATTGCACATAACGAGCGAGTCAACCCGCAACTTGCTGCAGGGAGCACAATGCAAGCTCGAATAATAAGAAATTATTTTTGAAAATAAATGAAATATATTTATTATTTTATAATAGACTACCATTATTTCTCCTTAACCTATTAGCGATTATTTTCAGCGATTCTGCGATTTCTTCTTTGGCCTTTACTTGCCGCTCCAATAAAAGAATTTTTTTTTCATAATATTTTTCTTTCATTTTGTTATTTTCCGTGGTCAGTTTGACCAACTGCTCTGATGCTTTTAGACTCTTGTTTCTAATCGTTCTGCGGGACGGGCTTTCCGCTTTCTAGAAAATTGGGGTTTTTCTTCGGGTAAAATTTTCTTTTTTTTTTCTCTTCCACCAGTTCTTCTAAACTGATAACATTCACCCTTCCGTCCCAACTGTCTTTTTGAGAAAAGAGAAAGTCGTCTTTAGGAAAATTTCAACCCTTCAATTAGTAAGTGATTTAATACATTTTTATACCGGACACATGTTTTAGAATAAAACATAAAGAATTATGTTATTAAAAACAAATGATATTATTTGCTGTTTCCAGTTATATTGATATCACTTGATAGTTAACATAACATTCACAGTAAAACCGATAAATTCCATATTATTAACTTGCGGGACTTCCAATTAATCTTTGTTGTACTTAAAACGTTAAATTTTCCCTCTCATCTTCCATTGGTCGATAGTGGTTTCTGACAGCAAAGCATCATCTAGGCCGTATGAACTTATCTACGACTGTACGCAAATACGTCGCATGCGAAATTGTATTCGTCTAGCGCTCAAGAATACAGAGCGTGCGACTTTCATCTTTCGCATACGAAATCACCATGCGACGATTTTCGTATACGACTTGAAGTCGCATGAGTTCAAGAATAGGGCCCCAGGTTTTTGGCATATCCAACTTGACAAAGAAAGTGCTGATTTATGCTGTTTCAACACTTGTCTTGGACGATACGAATGGTTAAGAATGCCTTTTGGTATAAAATCTGCACCGGAAGTTTTTCAGAAGATGGAATTTAGAATTTTTGGGAACATTAAAGGAGTCCAAGTGATTTTCGACGACCTAATTATTGCAGCAGTGAGTGAAGAAGAACACGATAGGATTTTAAAGGAAGTAATAAAAACAGCAGAGAGAAACAACGTCAAATTTAATAAATAGAGAGGGGAAAATATGCAGCAAATATGATCATATGATATGCACCAAATTTATGCAAATATGCAGTAACTTTCTTAATATATGCAGAGATATGCAGCTGCATATGCTCCAAAAACTAAAAAAAAAGCGTAATAACCGAACTAAATTTATTTACAAATTACAAAATTAGTAGTAATCGACTATTTAATTACTATTTTGGTAACAATTTATTTTTAAATATTTTTCGAAATATTCTAACCAAAAGTTTTCCGATGATTCTAAAGTATATTTGGTATAGAAAAACTGTGTACTACGTCCACAGATATAAAAATCCTTACCGGTTTAGAGCAGACGCGACAAAACAGTTCCTTCTTGAAGAATAGGTTCAGGAAAAGGTTTAATCCGTAAATTAATTTGAGTTATCTTCGACATATTAACACACATGTAAAGTAATTAGAGCCCGAATTTACCTGGAAGAATGGCTTAACACCCGGTGGTTTCTCCAAACTACCATAAAACCCAAACCTTTACTAGTTATTTGAAGCTCAGGACAATATTTGCAATATGATTCATGAAATTTCGTTTTTCTAGATAAATGTCGATAGAATGACTTTTTTTTTCAAATTAGCACAAAAATTGATAAAAATGCAAAATATGCACCCGTTACGTGAAATATGCAGCAGAAGGCAAATATATGCAAATATGCAATTTTTTTATAGCTGTATTACTTTTAATTAGCATGATTCGTTCACATATTAAATATCAAGACTTATATGCAAAAAATAACGGATATGCAAATTTCATACAATCCGCTCTCTATTAATAAAGAAAAGATACAATTCAAAGTGAGTCAAGTGAAATATATGGGAAATGTAATAACTGACACGGGTATGATGCCAGATCCGAACAAAGTAAAGGCCATAACCCAGATGGAAGAACCGAAATGTAAAGAAGAAGTGAAAAGATTCCTCGGAATGATTAACTACTTAGCACCGTTTATCCCCAACGTGGCAACGGTAAATGGTCCATTACGAGAATTAGTAAAACAAGATGTGTCTTGGCATTGGGAAGAGAAGCAGAGCAGAGCCTTCGGTAAATTAAAAAAACTACTTTCAGATTCCCCTACGATGAAATTTTTCAATCCAACAGCGAAAATAACAATCCAAATCGACGCATTTAAAGCAGGAATAGGATGTTGTCTTATGCAGAATAACCAGCCAGTGGAATACGCGTCCCGAGCGTTAACCTCGACCGAGACAAAATACGCACAGATTGAGAAGGAATTGTTAGCAGTTGTATATTGTTTGGAAAAATTTCACTATTACATCTATGGTCAACATGTCACGGTACAGACTGATCACAAACCGCTGTTAGCAATAGTAAAGAAAGATGTGACGCAAACAACAGCGAGAATTCAAAAAATGCTTCTGAAATTACTAAAATACGATTTTTCATTAGTCTATATACCTGGAAAAGATCTACACATTGCAGACACGCTGTCTAGAGCATTCTTGAAAGACAAAGTAGAAGATGATCCTGAAATGGAAGCTGTTGTACACAGTATCTCAAGACATTTAGCAGTATCAACAAAGAAGAGAAAGAAAATCCAAGAAGCAACAAAGAGAGACCGAGTCTTGCAACGAGTTATACGGTACCATGAAGAAGGATGGCCCGAAGAAAAGCACGAAGTACCCGATTACTTACTACAATACGGGAAACTAAAAACCGATCTTTCAGTCGACGACAACTTATTATTTTTACATGATAGAGTCGTAATACCTTTCGAATTACGAGATGAACTACTTCAGCAAATACACGAGGTCATCAAGGAGTTGAAAAATGTAAATTACGAGCAAGATCGACTGTATATTGGCCTGGAATAAACAAAGACATTGAAGAAACTGTCGCCAGATGTCCGGTTTGTCAGAAATTTCAACATCAGAACAAAAAGGAAACACTTATACCACACGAAATCCCAATCGAGCATGGAAGAAGATCGCAGCAGATATTTTAACATTCGCAAACACAGATTTTCTAGTTATAATTGACTATTACTCCAATTGGATAGAAATAATTAAATTACACTACAAAACAGCCGGAGAATTAATCGTAAAATTTGAAGAAATATTTGCGAGGAATGGCACACCAGAAGAATTGGTATCCGACAACATGCCATTCAACAGCCACAATTTTAAACAATTCGCAGAAACATGGGATATCACACTATCCACGTCGAGTCCAAGATATCCTCAATCGAATGGCCTAGCGGAGCGAGCTGTCCAAATCTCCAAGAATATACTGAGAAAAGCATATGAAGAGCACACCTCAATCTACCCTCTACTGTTAGCATACAGGAATACTCCAATTAAAGGTATCAATTGCTCACCAGCACAAGCGATGTTGAATAGACCATTACGAGAGAAGATCCCAGTGGTATCAAGAAGATTAAAACCGAGAATAGACAACCAGATCCAAAAGAAGAAAGAATTCCAACGACGAAAGACCAAATTATACTACGACCAAACAGCAAGAGATTTACCAGAGTGCAGAGAAAATCAGAATGTAATAATAAGGAAAGGAAGAGAATGGATACCCGGAAGACTAGTGGAGAAGCATGAAAAGCCAAGATCTTACACGGTCCAATCGGAAACCTCAGAAGAAATCGAAGAGATCTCCGTCCATCTTTAATTCCCTCTCCTTCATTTACCCCGGACTTGGATGATAATCAAATAATTAATGAACCTAAGTGTGGTGTAGGTAGTTGCATAGGTGTGGGCGCACGCCGTGCAGAGCATGCGCTAGAGCAGCAGAGCAATGATGGCCGTCGAATAGAGCGTTAAGTTAGAGAAGTTGTGTTTCGTTAATTGTACATAATCGCGGGTATTAAATAAGGCAAGGAAACTATGGAGTTTTATTTAAGAAACACTACAGTGGCGACGAGGAAAATTATGGACAGATCGGCGTAAGTTAAAGAGAGAGTGAATAAGCGGTGGCCACGTGGCAGTTAAGCGTTGGAAGAAAAAAACAAGATGGGCGGCGAAGATACGAAATCAAGTGAGGCAAGATTTACGAATGTGGGTCATCTGAGGCAGTTTACACTCAATTCAGACTGGAAGATTTTTTATACTCAGTTGACGCAATATTTTGTGGTGAACAACATCACAGACGACAAAATTCAACAAGCTCTACTGATCAATTGTTGCACTGA